TATTCACATAGTACATCAAGTCTATCTGCAATAAAGTCAAACTTTATTCTCTGAAAATATTCGAATCATCACAGTAAGTGCTTGCTTTCAAGTTAGAACAATCTTTTACCTGCAAATCTCCGTGGCCTTCACCTCTGAATGTAACAGTTGGAGGAACTGGTTGTAAACTGATCTGGATGCTTGATCCAGGCCACTCAAGATCATCGATTGCTTCCTTCAGCGCCGCAGACTGTTAATTAAATTAGATGCCAAACAACAATTAGGAAAAAGACTTCAACATGAGTCGGAACATATTCAATACATCAAGAACATTTATGTTTGAGTGCTATACACTATATAGCAAATGCATGACTGTTTCCTTCACAAGTATTGTTAATCGGCAGGTTGTTCGTTTTAATATTCTTTTGTCTTAAAAGGCTAAAACTTCCTGTTGGTTAGAGAGTCAAATGCACGAGCACAAAAGCACACAACATGAACATAAACACTTCAATTGCATTATAGTGTCACACACCTTGAACATTCATATTTTCATTGACCTTAAAATTTATATTGAGGACAAATATGATAACTATGCGCACATAGTGGCAGGTAAAACCAGTAATTAAGAAGCACAGTAGAGGTTGATTCGAAAACTATTTGAAGTCAGCACCCGCTTATGAAACGGAAAAGAGATGATATACAAGTGGATGCCGCTTCTTGTCAATAGCTAACCCACCCCCCCCCCCCCCCCCCCCCACCCTTTTTTTCTCTTTTTTTTTTTTTTTTACTTTAAAGCAAAAACCTTGGACTAGTTTTATCTTTAATACAGAAGGTATGGGTCAGAAAGCGGTTTGGAAAGATGGAAAAGGGAAACATAAGAAGAATGTTAAGAAGACTTCTCCAGGGACGCCTCAGTAGCGACCTTATTGCACTGGAAGCAGACTACGAAAGGGCACCAATTTAATTATTGAGAGACCAAATGAGGCAGCATGTACACCCTCGATATGAGTAAATATGAATGAGCAGAGCAGCATACCTTAACAGTAAAGGTGAGCGGGGTGCTCCCTGCGGGTTCAAAATTGTAATCCCATGAAACTGTATCTGGGATTCTTGTCCTGATCTCTGCATAAATGCAAGCATCCAACGAATCAACAGACCTGACAAAACAGGGAAGATAACATAGCCATGAAAAAAGTTCGATTCAGTTTTCGTGGATTGAAAGCATAAATACAAGGATCATGAACAAGTAAGTATTAATGCATTGCATCCAGAAATGAACAAAATATTCAATTCAACTGTGAAAGAAATACTTGAGAAGAAGCTGCATGTCAGGGCCGGGATAGCGCATTTCGAGAATGGTTGATTGTCCAGGAACTGAAAATGTGTTCAAGCAATCGACGAAGAGCCCCAAACTGATTCCAAACCGGGGGCGGCCTTGCCCGTTGTATTCGTAACGAGTAAACAGCTACAAACAAACAACCAATTCAACATCAAATTTCATTTCCTTTTCCTTATTCTTTTAGTAATTTACAAAAGGAAACTAACAATCCATGAATCAGCAATGGTAACTACCTCACGCTGCAAATAAACTTTGGCCTGAAGACAACCGGTTTCCTCCACAATTAAAACGACGCCGTGCTCTGATAATTCCACCACCGCGTCCTGAATTTATCGAAATTGCGACGACAGAGAGGGAGTTATGACAAAACCCTAGATAATTAGTGGTAAGAAGATAAAAGATTCTTCCGCAATTGCGTTCAATTTCCAGTAGAAAGAAAGAACGAAAGAAAGAAAGCAAGCAAGTAAGCATCAAAATTGAAAGCGTTTTAGGTTGGGAGCGAGGGACACACCTGCTGGCGTTTCCATCGGACGGTGGTGAGGGCGTCGACCATGCCCTGGGCGTTGTCGATCTGGCACACCAAATCAGGGGGCTCCTCTGCCGGCGACGACGAATTCATTTTCTTCTTCTTCTCACACAGTCTGACTGACTATCTCTCTTTACTACCGTATTTTGAGAAAGAAATGGTCTTCCATGTAATGGGAATCTTCCCCGCCTGTTTCCAAAGTGTGTGAGAAATTTTTTTTTTATTTTTGTTTTTGAAATAGAATGAGAGAGGAAGAGAGGGAAAGAGAATGTGGGAGTGGGAATTTTTTTTTTTTTTTTTTTTTGTATCTTTTTTTAGAGATATGTTAGAATTGCATGTAAATGAGACTTTGAAAAGAAAAAAAAAAGAGCAAAATGTGGTTGTATGAAATTACATTTATGCCCCATATTTCTTATTCATGGTCTGTTTTAATTAGAGGGTTAAACTAGTAATCTCATAGGGTTTTGGTTGACAATAAGTGTTTTATTAATTAGTAGAGATTAGTTTCCATGATGACAAGATAGTTGGAAGAAATAAATAAAAATTTTGATTTAAGCTCGTTAGGATTTATGTCCAAAATAAAAAATTCTATAAATTATTAGCACGTGAACCAACTCCACGTGTTAACAATTAACAGAGAGTTCTGTTTTAGCCTAATAATTGTCCTTAGGTCAATAATTGTCTATTTTCCAACTATCATGTCACAATGAGGACTAATAATCCAATTAGGCATTTTATTTTTGTTTTTGTTATACCCTTAGAGCAACTTCAACATTGTAAAGGCCCCCTAGGGCAACTCACTATTGAATCCACCCAATGAACATGAACTGCCTTTAATGAACTGTGAATGCCTTTTACATTTCCACCCCTAAACTAAATAGCCATGACAATAGGAAATAAAATATTAGTATTTTTTCCTCACCCAATCCATCAGACATCCCCATCATCCTTTCCCTTTTTCCCCTCATTTGACCGGTTCTTCCTCTCTTTCTTTCTCTCTCTCTATCTCTCTCTTCATTTTTCTTTCTCTCTCTCCATCTTTTCCAGCTCACTCCCGTGAGCTCTCTTCCTCCTTCCTCTTCAAACCTTCAACAAATCAAGCTCAAAAATAATATTTTTGGAATCCCTGGAACTCAAGGAACCCAACCATGACCTTGCATACGACATTTGTGCATGGTGTGAGGTCCTACCATTGAAGTCGAGAGCTTGAGCTCTCAATCTCGAACCCATGTGGTGTTTCTATCACTATCTTATGTTCTTGAGCTTTAAATCATGTTGTGTTGCAATTCTTGTGGTTTAATTTAAGGGCTTAATTCCCTACATGCATCCCATTCTTTTTCCAGATTCCAACAAAGGAAAACGGACGAATTCGAGTTGGGTCACCTTGACATCAGCCACACATCGCATATCCCTCAGGCTCTCTGGCCACCAATTCGAGCCAAGTCTCTTGCTTGGGCCCCCCCTCAGCCCACACGCTCGCATAGGTTGGAGCTTGCAGCTGGGGCTATTGGGATAGGGAAGTCATTGGTCCATCGAGCTAATGGTCCTGGTGGAGTTGCTCTTAGGCCAATAATTACCTCGATAGTGTTATTCACACCTTCATTTTTCACTTCTATGCACCCTTATTAATTTTTGTTACTAATCTTCTTTAATTTATTCGATTCAACAATCGAAAATTGAAAAAGTATGTGAAAAGTAAAAATAAGTGTTTGAATAGCACTACCATAATTGCCTTAGTGAATAACAATTATCGGAGTGCATCTTCACCTGTAAAAATAAATTGTTGGAGCAATTGGTATTAAAAATTGATAAAAAGATAATATTATTATAGTACTAATTCTTTTTCCTTTTTCAACAAACCTCTTCCTCTCCCTCGAAGCTTTTCCCTTTCCCTCCCTCTGTTCTCCATCCCATCTCACCCATTTCCTGCTCGAAACCCAGATTGAAACTTCTCTCTCTCCTTCTGTTCTCTATCTCATTCCTCCCCTTTTCCTCTTGAAACCCTAATTGAAACTTCTCTCTCTCCCTCCCTTTTTCTCTCCATTCCATCCCTCCCCTCTCCCTCTTGAAACCCAGATCGATACTTCTCCCTCTCCCTCCCTATTTCTCTCCACCCATCCCTCCTTTCCCTCTTTTTCGGGCATGAAAACCATTCTATTCAGAAAAGCACAAGGGCTTCAACAAGTAGTTCAGGGTCCAAAGGATCAGAAAGAACAAGGAGAGATAGTAGATGTTGGGCATTTTGGATCCTTCGAAGATTGCGATCTCTTCGAAGACTAGAATCGATTTAGAAGTAAGCAGCATATTTATCACATCACCATATTCAAGTTATTTGCCCAACCGCATGTGATGCAATATCCTAGTGGATATTTGATAAAAAAAAAATCCTAGTGGATAAGATGTTAGGTTTCTATCCGCGTCCCGAGTTTGAAACTTTTACCTTTCTCTAAATTAATGTAATAGTTTCGAATTTTCTCCCGTTAATAATAGTAAAAAATTATTTGCCCAACCGAGCTCGGTAGCTAATTGGCATGTCCACATCAACATTCAAATGACTGAAGATGTAATTAGTTCCTAATTACTCAGCCGGCGGACCGCACAGACTTTGTAATTTTTAAAGTCAACAATAATACATAAATCAGATCATGACCAAATTTGAGATATATAATAGGATAGTGTTATTTACGCACCTATTTTTATCTTCTACACATCTTTGTTAATTTTTTACCATTAATTTTCTTCAATCTATTCAACCAGATGATCACAATTAAAATAACTACATAAAAAATATAAATAAGTGTGTGAATAATATTTTTTTTATAAATAATGCAAGCAATCAAACTACAAAACTTATGATTTATTATTCAATCACACACGACTATTTTATTTGATTGGAAACATGAGTCATGTTTTGTCAACATTTAAGAGAGAGGTCATATTCTCAACTTGTATCCTACTATCAGCACACCAGTTGTGAAACCTAATTTCATTAAAAAATAAACTTTGATATAATTAAAAGTTAAACCACGCAATACAAGTTATATATAAGTTTATCACAAAAGATGTTGCGTGAACGAGACGAGATCACACCATACATTACTCTGAGACTTCATACCGGAACCGACAGGAAGGAGAGAGAGACCGTTTTGGTAATTCCAATAAAAAGTAGGGGTAAGCATAACCATAATACGCACCAATTGCTGGGTGGCTAGCTATAGCTAGCTGGCAGCATCCATACAATACATGTACATACATATACAGTTGATGCCCTTTGTTCTTCAATATCTCCTCTCTCTGTTTTCAGTTTTCACTAACTCCAACCAAAAAACAATGGAACCATTACTACAGAGCAAGTACACTAGCTTGTGTTTTCTCCTAGTCCTTCTTCTTCCTCTTGTTATTCCTTCGTTTTCAGGAATATCAGGCGTTGAAGCTTACAAGAATTATACAGTGGGTGACTCTTCCGGTTGGTATGAATCTGTGAACTATCAGAAATGGGTTGCCGCCAAGACATTCAGCTTGGGAGATTTTCTCAGTAAGCTTCCTTTCATCACAATCCATCAATTTCTTTCATTTTTTGCTCTTTCGATCGATAATATTATGTTAATATCAATTGCTATCAGTTGCAAATTACGTTTTATCGCTCTGATGTTGCGAGTTCGATCTCTATCGATTTCCCTTCTTCTTAGCAGTGGACAACTTAACCCATTAATGTTAACATTTGGCAAAGAAAATTGCGATTATTAGTCCTTGAATTGTAATTATTCATAATTAATTCATATCCAAAAAGAAAAGAAAAATACTTGATTTTAATCTAATTTCAAATTTCCAAACTGTTTACAATTTTTTTTGAGTATCCTTGAGCTATTTCCTGGTTTAATTTGTCCAAATTTCGTGTTTGGAAATTAAAGAATTTGAGGTGTTGTACACTAATATTCCTTCTTTTTTAATTTGTTTTTTTTTATAAATATTCTGCTAATCTGTGTGTTAATAGTAATAACTTAATTGAGCAGTAGTGTAATTGCCTCATCAAGTATGTAATCACGTTGCTTTTTCCCAGAACAGCATTCACGATAGTGGAAAAGCTAAAGTTCAAAGAGAGAAACATTAAGAAAGATAGAAAGAAAAGCATACTGTCTAGTGTACTCCAATCAAGTGCACAGACTTTTATGTCAAACCATGTGTACTTCACGTGTAGCCAAAGCTACCACCGCCGACGCTTGGGCCCTTCCCTACTAACTATCCAACGCATCACTTGGAACATGCATTAGAATACAGCCACCATTTTCTTCTGTTTCTTTTCAATTCTTTTGATTATCCCCCAACCAGGTCAAAACCTATTAATTTATTCGGTTTCCAATTTCCAATCAATGTTTCGAGTTGCATAAATTATTAGGGTAATGTTAGGAGATTTAATTTGTAAATAAAATTTTAAAAACTAAATAACATAGAAGTTGATATTTGAATTATTACTTACCCATTGATAACTATGCTCATTTCTATTGGTGATATATTATTTAATTTGCAAATTTTGTCTACAAATTTAGTCTCCTTAATATTACCCAAATTATTATATTCATGTGTCTATATATTTTTAAGGCTAATGCTAGGGAGACAAAATTTACAAACTAAATGATGTGTCACTACTAAGAAATAATAACGTTAATCAATAGTTAAATAATAATTCAATCATCAACAACTACGTCACTTAGTTTACATAATTTAGATTAAAAATTTGGTCTATTTAGCAGTGCCCTATTTTTAAAGTTATTCATATAATGCATTTTAATGATTAAAACCATTAACATTTTGTGTTTTTAATCAAGAGTTATTTTTGTAAACAACTAGTACATGCCCATACAAAAGTGTGGGTAAATATTTTTTATTTTTTATTTTTTAAATGGGGAGAGAGGGGACATAAGTTTTTGTTTGTTTTTGTTTTGTTGTTGTTGTTGTTTTTTTTTTTTTTTAATATTTGAGGTATGTTAAAATCACATGTAGGTGAAACTTTAAAAAAAGAAAAATTTGATTTGTTTTGAAATTATATTACTGTTCATATTTTTTCGTTTAGAGTTCACTTTTAATTAGAGGTTAGGATGGTAATCTTATAGAGTTTTAGTTGATAACCAAAATTCTATTAATATGTAGTTTAGATTATTCAAATTATAAAATGTTTGGTCAGCTAAAACATGCGCAAAGTCATGGCTCACAAGATATAATTGAAATGAAGATGCTGACAATGAAACAACAAAACAGTTGAACAACTAAATAATTGTAAGTTAAGCAGTACGTAAAAATGGATCTTATGAATAACTTCGGAAGTGATCTGGTAAAACATGGCTGATAAGATACATATACAAAAAATTTGGAAGTGATCCCGTAAAACTTTTTATTTTATTTTATAGAAAATTGGGTTAATTTAAAAAAAAGGGTAAAATCTTACTCAAAAGGAACGGCAGTACATAATCATTCGGCTTGTCGGCAAATAAAGACAGGATGTTTTATAGGTTGTGCAACTGGACAGCCTGATTATTTCTCCACTGCCTTGGTAATCTAGAGCTGACGCATGTACATAGGTATACTTATTTAAAACATTTAGTTAGTCAGTGTCCTGCAACTGCTATATATGATATATAATACCTGAAGAAGGTTATCTTCTGGCAAATATGAAGACCAAGAACCAAAAACCTTTGATTGCTTTTGCTCGGGGAAATAATATGTATATGTACTAATTTTGTTGAAGTTTCTTTTATTTGAGTAATATTATAATTCAATCTAATGCTTCCTTAGTTAACTTAGCTTCGTTCAGCTTTATATTTACTTACTGAAGAGTTGATTATAGACGTGATTGTTATGCAGTTTTTAATACGGACACCAACCACTCAGTTGTGCAAACATATAACTTGACGACATACAAGCTGTGCGATTACGATGATGCTCTAGAAAACGACACAATGCAATGGTCGGCAGCTGACCCGTCAAACACGGCAGTACGCAAGGTGTCGGTGGCAGTGCCTTTGGAAAAGGAAGGGATGAACTATTTCTTTTCAGGGGATTATGATGGCGACCAATGCAAGAACGGGCAGCACTTTAAGATCAGCGTCGCTCACGGACAAGGGCTGCCAAAGAGTTTACAAAACCCAACCACACCCACACAGGACCAGTCCCCAGGTCCAGCAACAGCAAGCAGTCCCGGCGGGTCCCCATCTCCAGGTGGTGACGGCACTGATGATGGTTCTGTCCCGGATACAATTGTTCCTGCCAGTTTCGACCATCCCAAAGCGGATGACACTGCCACTGGCGATCATGATAAAGATTCATCTGGATCACTTTGTGTGAAGCACAATCACGGGATACTATTTAGGGTTTTCATGTTGTTAGGGTTTCTCTACTGCTGCCTTTGGTGATTTGCTAGCTGATAATTTATCCCTAGTTTTTATATATCTTTGAGACTTCGATTATTCTTTTTTACTTATCAGTTGATTTCCTTTTCTTTCCGCTGTGTGTGTACACTGTATACTGTGCGTGCTTTCTTTTGTTTTGTTTTTTTTTTATTGTACGTTGAAACAAACTGAGTATACTAGATCTGGAGCGTGTAAAAGTTAAAAAGAGTGTGACAATGATATTCTTTTAATAAAATATGAAGCAATGTTGGTTCCGTATTAACTTCGTGAGATATTCATTAGTACCCTACTATTGCTCTGTTAACACCCTGTTCATATCCACTTCGTTCCATCTGACCACGGTGGAAGGACTACTGATCTCAAGATCTTTCTCCCCCGAGAAGCCTCTCCCGTTATTACATTGTTAATTCTGTGTTATTTTGTGGAATTTCAAGTTTTGGTTCGTATCAAACGGAAACCAAATGGATTGGGATGATTCCCAATTTAAATTTGAACCCAACGCGAACCCAACTTGAAGTTCAAACGGTGGAAAAGGCAGAGAGAGGGATAAGAATCTGACCGATCGAGTTCCATCATTTTATTTGTTTTGATTTTCTAGGTGGTTTTATAGAATTTGCACGAAAAGGAGAGCAAAGAAGAGAAAGAATTTGTGAATGCACCGCGAGGTCTTTGCTGTGCATTCATGTTTAATTATATATTTGTTGTGTTTCTAGGCATATATAATTGAATTAATTTAATTCTTATAATTAAATACACAAGGAAATAAATAAATAAATGTGACAGCCCATCCCGAATTATTTTATCGATGACGTGAAATGACGATTTTGCCCTTGGACGTTAGTTGGTGTTGTGGGTGACTTGTTTTTGGTTGGTGACTCAGCTGGACCACACACACACTCACACCCTTTCTTTCACTCCCATGTACTCCCTCTCGCTTCCCTCTCTCGGATTTCGTCCATTCCTTTACAAACTGTACAACCTTCGAACCAACCATTTCAGGCACGGATCGAAATCATTGTTGGTATTTTTGGACTCCTAGCAAGCCCAAGAACTCATCCATACCATTTTTAGGACGTGAAACATTCGGAAACCCAAGAACCAAGGATCTCCGATTTGAGGTACTGTTCATGCACTCATGATTGCGGAGGTTTCATCGAGTTTTGAGGTTATAGTGAACCTTAGAACGTCTTCACGAAGCTCGGGGAAGAAATTTGAGGTGTTTTGGATGTCGGGAAGCTCGAGTTCAGTGAGTTGTAGGTTTGGCCGGAATATCATAGGTTTTTCAAGCGACTTTCTGTTGGTTTTAGGGCTTGAAAGGTTAAGGTTTTATTATACTCTTCGTAAGCTTCATTTTGGTACAAATTTCATGGATTTTGGTTGAGAAATGAAGAAGATATGAAGTTTTGAAGTTTTTCCAGAAACCGGCGAAACCATGAGTTGTGGACGGCGGCGCTGACGACGGCGTACGGCGGCGACTGGCAAGACTCACCGGAGAAGGAGACGAATATTCCGTCAAAGTTGACGGAATATTCTAACGGTATCAGGTAACGGCCGTTAACTTTTGTTAAGGTTTTAACAGAATATTCCCTAACGGCGTTAAGGTTCCATTAAGCGTGCCAAGCACATGGCCGCACGTGGGGGCGCGTTTGGCCGTGCCTTGGTCGACGCGTGGCAGCGCGTGAGTCGTCCAAAAATTATTTTAAAAATATGGGGATGTTTATGGTGTTGAGTAAATCACGTTGGTATATTCAAACACCCCATTTGAGCAATGTATGAGAAGTTATTAGCTAGTTTCGTTTATGTGCCTTAAATTAATATTTATATAGTTGTTTCGCATATAGGTGAAACCTATCCTCAGGATAAGCGCAGTCAATCGAGGCTTGGGGGCTACGACCCTTCCACATACTAGTGAGTGGGCTTTCGGTTTTCCGTATATACCTATATACTTGGTATTTTTCCCAAAAAATGAATTTAAATGATTTTATGAAATGAAATGCCATGCCAAATATGCTTATGCTTTAAATGTGCATTATTGCTTATGTTTATGGTTGTTGACGCTGCGGGCGCTCAGGTAAGTTCCAGGTGAGTTTATGTGTTGATAATAATGAGATGCATTATGATGATTATGTTGAGAGGCATTGAGAGCTCATAAACCTGTACCTCGGTGTTAGTGCTCTCGCCCAGAGTTAGGGCATAGTCCTTCACGTGATGTTCACCTCCCGCACCATACGCTCATCTTGGATCTAAGTTAGGTGCACAATCTTGTCGTACAGACCATTATAGGTGGTTCCGACTCGTAGGTGACCCGCGATTATTCGCACAGTCTTTACGTGATGGTAGCACTTGAGCGTATTTATTTAAACCCAGTCCCGTTGTACAGACCACTTTAGGTGGTTCCGACTCGTGTACAGGTATATTTGCTGAGATATGGATTTGAGCCGTATAGGTCACGTTAGGTGACTCTGGCTAGATGGATGAGCTCTTGATTCAGTCGGGCAGGTCACGTTAGGTGACTCCGGCTGACATATCATTTGCATTGATTTATATCACCTAGCTTACATATATTTTTATGCTGAGATATTTGACATGGCGTAGTGGTGAATTTTGCTATTCTGAGCATGGTTGTGGAATATATAGATATATATTATATTTTCTGGGAAATTATACAGGTTTTATGGCGAGGGGTTAGAACTTTTGAGGAATGAAATGATTTTGAAAATCTTTGTTTTTGCCTACTCACACTTTCTATTTTGTGCCCCTCCAGGTTCTAGTTAGGAGTGCTTTTGGTGGCTTGCGAGGAATCCATGGCAGATTTGATAGATTATTACCATTGTATGGTCACCTTTGGGTGTTGTGTAATTGGTTTTGTCCTGCTAGACTGCACTTAGGCTACTCATGCTCTGGTTGTGTATTTCACACTTACTCTCGCACTAGCATGTTATCTTAGCTAGTACTATTAGTAGTTCGGTTTTTATTTATTCGTATTTCTCTTTATCATTTTGCTTCCGCACTGTGCACATGGTTACGTCACTCTCACGTGACGGCCAGCACGACTTGATTTCGGTCGGGGTGTGTCAATAAACATATAATATCACTACTAGAAATTACGGCTTGCCCTACCAAATTATGCTCAACGGAAGAAATTTTGTCAGTTAACAACTATTTATCTAATGGATAATTCTAGGGGTGGTTCGGTATGGGATTCCATACCGAAATCCTTGTCCCGATTCCCAAACCGAAATTTTCGGAAATCCCAATTTCAATACCGATCCCAAACCAAATTTTCGAGAATCTTGAAATAGTTTCGGGATTTCGGGACAAATCGGGAATTCCTAAATGGTTTTGGGTTTTCGGACAAAAATTTGACATATTATGCTTTTGGGCTAAAATTCAACATTTTATATTGAAAATTGACATATAGGCAAGCCCAATCTGCCAATTTGTTTCTATTAATCTGTGCACAAATCTGCCAATTCAAAAGCATCTGTGCACAATTTGCCTATTCAAAAGCAATCTGCCAATCTGTGCACAATAGCATTTGCCTATTCAATTTCAACAACACATGCCTACTTGGTTGAGGCAAACAGAATTACCTTGTCCTTGATGTCCTTGTGGCATTGGTTTGTTTGTACACCTTCTCTATTAACAATAACACACAAACCAAACAACATTTTGTTTGCCTAATACCCCAAGTAATTCTCATAAAAAGACAAAAATTTTGATCTTGCTTAAACTTTGATCAACATTGGTAAATATTGGTCGCTAATGTGACATCCATTTTATTAATAATGGCTTCCTACTAGAAGAGAATAACCTCCACGGCTCCACATATACTATTAAACCAGAATCTGAGAGAGTATTAAATCGGAATCTGAGAAAGTATTAAACCAACCTGCAAAAACCCAAGAACATGAACCATTAGATCAATTAAATAGAATTTGATCTGTGAAACCAAACAAACCCTAAATTTGCAAACCCTAATCTAGAATTCGAAAATTAAATTTCAAACACTAAATTAATTCCCATATTTATTTACCTGTGTCTAAATATGAGAGATAGAATTGCGTGAGAGAGTCAGAGACTCCTGAGAGAGAGAATCACGAGAAAGAGTCGCGATAGAGAGAATCGTGAGAGAGAGGCCTCAGGCCGGTGGTAGTTGTGACTTTGTATCGTGAAGGAAGGGAGAGACAGCGGTGGATGATCCACGTGTGGTGGTGGGCCGGTGAACGGCTGGCCGGAGTTGGATTTGAGTGAGACTGAGCTGAGAGAGAGACTGAGAAATGAAATGAAAGTTAGAAACTGGAGTGGAGTTAGTTCAGTCCTCGATGGGGACAAACAAAAATGAAACTTGAAAGCCTAACAAGGAATAGATGGACGGCATAGATTAATTTGAAACAATCCAACGGTTCAAATTAATTCTAATTATAATTAAAAAAATTATATATATATAATAATTAAAAATATATATTTTCGGTTTGGTATGGAAAGGCAATCCTGATTCCTATACCAAAATTTCGGTATTTTTTCGGTATGGGAATACCAAAATTTTGGACAAATTGGTTTGGGACATTTTTGGTTTGGGATTGGTATTTTTTTGGTTTAGTTTGGGAATTTTGGGAATTTTTTCCACCCCTAATTTAGTTGATAGGGCGAAGTTGGTCAACATATTGGGTTGATTGAATATGTTTACGCGGGCTCATGCTCAAATTAAATTAATAATAGAATGGAAATGCAGTGGTTGGGGCAACAATATCATACAAGATACTTAATTGAAAATGAAATACTGTATGGCAATTAAAAATTATAAATATAGTTAGAAATCATTATATTACTTATTATTTATTACTATATTGATTGCAACAAAATATTTCTTTCATAATTTGATTTCGAGTTACCTGCTTCTATTCTTGTGTCATTTCTTCTTCCTTGCTTTGGGTCAGAAAATTAAAGAATTGAGTGAATAAAAAACCAAAGGAGGTTCATGGCTAATGGTAAAGATGTCCGAGTAATGGTTATTTGGGATGAACATAGTTCGTAGGTTAAGAAAAACGTTGTCAAGTCAACTTTTGGCGCGAAGAGGGGAATATTTAACCGACAAATTAGCTGATACTCGGTTAGGTAAAGTTTACCTGATAGAGTGGTGATAGGAGCATATTTAGGCGACTTACTTAGCTTGTTTTCGTGCATCTATGTTGTTAATTCATAGTTGTTTTAGTAGTTTAAGCCATTTTCGTGTGTTTTTAGGTTCATATGGCTAAGGAA